AAAATGTTGCAATGCCCTTTGTTTTTGTTTTTGGTTCTTTTTATTTCATTGTCTTCTTTGGCTGGAGACGCACGTATTATTATTATTATTATTATTATTATTATTATTATTATTATTATTATTATTATTATTATTATTGTTATTATTATTATTATTATTAGCGGAAATCAGAGGAAATATGTAAAAATAAGGAAACGTTTTGATTGAAATTTTGTATATGTTCATGATTTTAATTTCTATATTAACTATCCGATAGTATTCTTCCCTAATGATTCTCCATAATAATTTCTTTTTTTCTTTTCCTATTCTCTCTGTTCCTGAGTGTCTCAAATTAGTGTGAGGTATGTTGAATCAAAGGTTTTCGAGTTCTGTTTTGGGCGAGTTTATGATTACGTAATGAATACGAAAGGTTACTTGCAATTAGCTTTAAATTTTCTCAGTGGACTTTTGTTACTCCCTTCGTCCCAATTTATGTGGTTGAGTTTTGATTTTGAGGCTAAATAAATTTTTCTTTGACCATAATTTCTTCACATGTCTTTTAAATAATTTTGAATTGTTAATTATTATGACTTGTCGTACCTTTTACGTAATTTTCAAATATATAAAATTTATTTTGAAAAATTTAAAGATTTTATATCCAAATTTACAGTCAAATAAAAAATTTAACTCTCAAAATCCAAGCTCTCCGGGAAGTCCTAAAAAAGGATAGATCATAGATGTATAATCTCCTGTATTCGTAACCATTGATTCAATGGGAAATATTCTTTTCCCTTCAAAATTTAATACTATAATAAATTCTTCTCTAATAAGTACCGACAATGGACTTCTTTTAATCGGGTGAGTTGCTTGGTGGCAGATGAAACACGAAGACAAAGAAAAATACTAGTGTACAGCCAGCAGCAGTTCTTGCTCGTTAAATTTGCATATTCTATTACTCCCTCTGTTCCAGTTTATCTGAACTTATTCTTTTTTTGGTTCGTTTAAAAAAAAATAACCCCTTTTTAAATTTGGTAACAATTTAGCTTAAACTTACAATTCTACCCTTAATGGGAAACTTTTATAACCACACAAATACTCTGGTCACTTTTTGACTTTTTTTGGATCACAAATTCCAAAAAATTTTATTTTTTTTATATACGTGCCCGGTCAAACAGGTTCACATAAATTAAAACGGAGGGAGTACTAATATGTTCACTAGGAAGTATAACTTAATTTTAGAGTAGAAATGCTAGTTAATTTGGTGGAGCCTATAGGCCGTAACATTAATTTGACATTTAAATACAGTTAAATTGATGAATGGCCTAACCCTTTTTCTTTCAAAAATGATCAACACCTGGGGTATAAGCCATAAGGTGCCAATAATTATAAGTTGCACTTTTTTATATAATTCATTAAGTTGGGTCATACGGTGTCAAATTCCCGGAAAAGAAAGGATCTTATTATTGGAGTCTGAAATATAAAAAGGTGCAAATTAATATCAACCACATAGTCTACCTACGACTGATTTTTTGACATATTAGAAACAGACAACGTTCAGTAGAGAGGGTAGCTGCAGTGATTAGGATTCAGGAGTGCAACGTTTATTCAAGCTCCTTCTCAACTTGTACCCTTCAATTCGAAGCAATTTTGTGTCTCTTCCTTCCTTTCTCTTTTTGGTACAACATGATAAACTGTTATAACTCAAACCTTTAGGGGTAGTTAATTAGCTAATATTGTTAGTAGACTGTATTTGTAAAATAATTTTGAAAATATAAATGAATATAAACAGAAATGAACATAAACAGAAATGACATAAAATCAATTCGAGCCCACTGAATTCACAGTATTTCCTTAAGGAATTTAATCCCCTCCTAGTACCCAAGGTTATGGATTATTTCCTCCCAGGATAGAACGAATTACACACTGGTGTAGTGGTACTTCAAACCCCAGTGTTTCAGCGAACACAAAGTTCGGTAGCAAATCACACTTACTTTTTACTTTGTTTGATGCTAAAAGTATGCAGAAGAAGGAGAGAAAACTCATAAAATCGTAGTGAAATTTTGAGCAGAATAGTGTTGTATTTATAGCCAAAGTTGGGCTGAAATCTGAAGAGTTGCACCTCTTCAGAATGGTTGTTTATGCAAAACGCCCACAGCATAAATGCCATTACATAAATGGTCATTTACTCAATAATAAAGAGGGAAAATAAAGAGGGAAAATTGAAGAGGGTAGTTGCTTTTCTGTTACCAAAACAGAAAAACGGATTGGATTTAATATTAATATTCTGTTATTAAAATAAATATTTAATAACATTTCTGTTAATATTTTACTTTAACAAATAAATTTGGTCCAAAAAGTTAATCAATCAATCGATCATTTGACTAAATCCGAATCCGAATCCGAATCCGAATCCGAATCTGAATCCGAAGCCGAAGCCGAAGCCGAAGCCGAAGCCGAAGCCGTAGCCGAAGCCGAAGCCGAAGCCGAGCCGAGCGAGCGACGACGACGACGGCGCGAGGCTTGCCTTCTTCTCAACTCTTTAAGAGCTAGAAGAAGAGCAATTGCTTATATACCCATAAAAAACCTCTTCCTCTTCCAATATGGGACAATGCCCATTTGCCAAGGGGGGGAACTTAAAATTTCACTCAAAAATTTCATTTCCCTCCATTTCCCATTCACCCTCTTTTAAGTATTTAATATATTAATTAAATACATCCAAAACCCAACAATCCCCCACATGAATGGGGAATGGCTATATCACGGAAGTATGCATGAAAAACTGTGTGATTCGCAAGTAAGGATTAATTGCATCTGGATAAGTAGGTTTCCCTTTGAACTTTCCGTAGTGAACTTATGTCGGATATACTCGATCAATCGGTAGATTTGATATCTTTGAACCGTCGAACTTTAGTGTATACCTAGACAACCATAAGTCACACAACCAACCCTTAACCGTCTTTGGTTCTCATTGTTGTGTTCGTTTCAGCCATGAATACCGCCTGGTTTCATAAGTGCGTAGAGAACTGGCCTTACAATGTTCTCCTTGAAGCGGCTAACACTTCACACTTACATAGGTGATTCCTAAACGTGTCATCCCGTAGATACACTATTTGATATACCCCGTATCAAATTTAGAAATCATTAAAAAACCTTAATGCTTTATCCTTGGTACTGAACATTGTCTCATCACGAGAATGGACCAAAAGTTTAGTTGACAATGTTGAACCGTCATAAATGACTTTGTTTGATCTCCTTGAACCTAGATATTGGGATCTCCAGTCTTCTAGGTGGAGTTACCGCCACTATGACTTGTTCTCGGCCACAGTCTCATTCCCCTTGATGACTTCTCAACTACCTCTCTAGTTAGGCCTTTTGTAAGTAGATCCGACACATTATCAATTGACTTTATATAGTCAATCGTGATAATTCCTCTAGAGAGTAATTGTCTAACGGTTTTATGTCTTCGCCGTATATGGCGAGACTTACCGTTATACATAACGCTCCCAGCCCTTCCAATTGCCGCTTGACTATCACAATGTATGCATATTGGTGCCAACGGTTTGGGCCAAAATGGAATATCTTCCAAGAAATTCCGGAGCCATTCAGCTTCTTCACCGACTTTATCCAAGGCTATGAACTCAGCCTCCATTGTAGAGCGGGCAATACAAGTTTGTTTGGATGACTTCCAAGATACCGCTCCTCCACCAATAGTGAATACATATCCACTTGTGGACTTGGAATCCGTTGATCCGGTGATCCAATTTGCATCACAGTATCCCTCAATGACCGCAGGATATTTATTGTAGTGCAAAGCAAAGTCCTGGGTATGTACTAAATACCCCAAAACTCGTTTCATGGCCATCCAATGAGATTGGCCTGGATTGCTCGTATATCGACTCAATTTACTTATAGCACAAGCTATATCTGGTCGTGTACAATTCATGATGTACATTAAGCAACAACCCAACACACGAGCATAATCCAATTGTGATATGCTCTGGCCTTTGTTCTTTGCTAATGCAAGACTCACATCAATTGGAGTCTTTGCAACTTTAAAGCCCAAGTGCTTGAATTTTTCAAGTACTGTCTTAATATAATGAGATTGTGACAATGCTAGACCTTGAGAAGTCTTATGGATCTTAATTCCCAGAATTAAATCAGCAACTCCCAAGTCTTTCATATCAAACTTGCTAGTTAGCATACGCTTAGTAGCATTTATGTTGGCA